TTCTGAAACTGGAAGCAATCTACAGCCAACCCAACCAGTGCCTCTTCAACACCCTTGTTCTCCATGACTTTGTCTCCTCATCTTGTCAAGCTCTTCGAAGTTGGCCTCCATCCTATGAAAGGGATCTCCCCAGCTTAAGCACAAGGGGGGCAATCAAGTGCTTCTGTCCACTCCACCCAGATCTTCCACCTTTCATTCCTAGATGATCCACCCTCCCTCTACTCTAATGTCCAGAGGAGAAAAAGCCCTCTGCTTCCATTCTTCACTTTTTCCATGCAAGGCTATCATGGTATGTCCCTATACCAAGAAAATATTCCCTTTCCCCATAGGGGAACTGCCGTAGTCCTTGAGTTTCCCTTTTCTGTATTTGCTTGGGCTCTGAATATCCTTTTTGAGAAAGAAGGTGGTGGGGCAAAGGAGGAATGGATTGTGAAGACGGCAGAACGAGCAGAGATGGCAAAACCAACCGCTTTTGGTCAGGGACAGAGCAATAAGTACTTTTACAGGAGACCGGAAACCTTTTATGGACTTTTTGCTGAAAACGGGAAAAAGTAAAACGGTGATTTCTGGATTTGATGATGGAAAAAAAGACTGACTAAGGGGCTGAAGGGATTATTGTAACGTTCAGGAGGGAGGCGGGATAATGAGTTTGTTTGTAACTGCTGCAAAGAAGGTAGTTCTTTAACTATCTTTTTTTCCCCTTCTTTAACTGTGTTCTTTTCTGCACTTTTCCTTTTCTCTTTTTCTTTCTTTTCTTTAAATATTTTTGTATGTGCCTTTTAGCTATGTAAAAACTTTTAATAAAAATGCATTTAAAAAAAAGAGAGAGAAAGAAGGTGACAGGCCTGGATGTAAGGCTTACTCTTGTCTTGTGAAACTTGTTGGTTGAATCACTCCCATCCAGACACAGCCTGCTAATCTGTTCAGGATAAGAGGATTGGAATCCTATTCTGGAGCAGGGAGGGAGAACACGGAGGAATGAGAAGTGGAAAGGATATGAAGGAATCCAGCCTCTGGGAAGGGAGCCCCTTGCATTTATCAAAGGCAGATAAACGCAATAAGAAAAAGACATTTTTTCAAAGCAAAAGTTGTATTAACCAGCGAAACGAAACAAAACAATGAAGGGCCTTGTGGCCAATTTAAGGAATAAGCCACTAATCATAGCCTAAGCATCGTGGATTATGGTCCACTCTCTCAGGTAGGATGGCGTGATGGAAGAAAAAAAAAAATGTAGGCAACCCGGATTATCTCCTTTTCCCCAGCTTTGTTATTTGAAAATACATTTCTCCGGCTGGTCTGTACCTTCAAAAACTCTTAGATGCTTGCCAGAGACTTTCTAAATGGGGTAATTGTTTTATAATTAAAAATGTTTCATTGTAATGGTCATTTTTAAATGGTCATTTTTAATGGGACAGGAGGGAGATGTTATCCAAGAGCAAAGACGTCACTCCTGGCTGGGTTTGAATTAGTTTAAACCGAATTCAGCTGGAGGTCTTCTACAGCCTGGCCCCACCTGCTTTCTGCATGGGGGTCCCTAAGCAGGCCTCTAAGTTCAAGGGCCCCTGGAGTGGAAAAGGTGGCTCGTCCCTGGCTTACCTCTTATGCTCAGAGGAGGTTGGGACATGTTCTCTCCCCTCGTTGTTTTCCTTTTGCAACCTGAACCTCAGTCTGTTCTTCATCCAGTTCTGTGTCCCTGACAACTCCTTCTCATGACAGAAGTGGGAATGTGGGCATCCTATGTCCTTCATTGCTGGATTGATTGAGTGATTAGGTTTATAGGCTACTCCAATCTCCTACAGATCCTTTTTCCTTCTGGAGCCTCTTATTACCTGCAGCGTCCAAGGCCCACAACTGTGAGGTTGCACCCAAGGTAGATTTGAACCTGGGTTTCCCCAGGCCTAGTCCAATACCCTTTATCACCACCCTGCAATACTTAAACCACTGTTTCTTCTACCTGAATCTCGGGCTAGGCTGTTAAAGAAACCCAACAATATTTCTTCCCAGAACAGGTAATCTAATGTCCTCCAGACATCCTGGGGGACAACTTTCATCAGATGGAAAGATGCTGGGACCTATGGCTCAGAAACATCTGTAAGAGAATCAGTGGGACTCTTTTCTGCTTAGCTACTTGGGAACTAGGCTCACATCTCACCCTAAGCCACTGTGGGGGTCTTGGCGGAGCGTGTTCTGGGGCTGAGCTGACAAAGAATGGTTTCAAATCACGGTTTAGTGCTTGGGGTGAAATGCTCAAGGTCCCAGCCATATATCTACACAGAATCTTTTCCCTCATTCCTGGGATCTTGTCAACGTAAGCAGGCTTCTGATGCAGAGTTTGGACGCCTTGCCAAGGGACCATATGTTCCCTGATGAATTTCAATGTTCAGAAGGAAAAACCAGCCCCATTGGGCAGGCTGGCATTCAGCAGAAGGCCTTTCTTTCTGACTCAGAGCTAACAAAGGGCAGGCAAAGCAAGGGAAAGTGAGTGACGGGCTTCAGACGTCCCTTTCATTTCCTAAGACAAACAGTGCTTTGTTTGGGGGTCCAGAAAGCGGAGAGCACAAGGCTGTTGTCTTGCAATCTCTCCCTGGCTCTGAGACATGGCGCCAGAAAAAGACCAGCATCCAACAGGGTTGTGAGAAGCCCAGAAATGGCATGAGAATCCCAGGAAGTTATTGCCCACTTGACGTAATCATGATGCTCGGGCTAAAGTAGGTGGGGAGGGGGGCTCTCTCTGCAGCGTGAAAGGCTTTGGGGGGTGCACACACATCCTAGAAACTTAGATTCTTAGAACCTTAGAATCTTGGAATCTTAGAAGCTTAGAATCGTGATCTGATGCATTTTGCTCCTGTAAGCATCCTTGAAACATTTGGTTCTCCTGAAGGGGAAGATGGATGTTTGAGAGAGACACGTTCCAGCCTCATCTGTTGGAGAAATGTTGGATTTCAACTCCTAGTTAAAGTGTTGTTGTTATTTGCTGGCATTGGCTGAGCCTGTCACATGAACGTGGCCACTGTGGCTTATAAATCACGGTTTCTCGTACGGTGTGTTGGGTGTACGTATGTAGTTCACCAAGCTTAGTCCAGACCCCACAGTTAAAGGCAACACGGCTTAGCAAGATGTGCAAACTTGACCTTTGTTCACTGTTCTGGGAAGTAGATGGGGGGTGAAGGGGAGAGGGTTGAAAGCAGGAGGACATGTTTCTGTTGGTTTCTTAACTACTGTTTTGTGACCCAAGGTGGCATTATTCCAGTTCTGTCCAAGATAAGACCAGACTCACCTATCTTCCCCTTAGTTATTTGACTGAAATGGTTCCCATGTGTTTCTTTGGACACTGTGACATCACTCTGCAGCTCTGAATGCAGGACATGCAAAAGGACCCCCCAAAGATGCGAAGGCACCGAAATTGGGGAAAGGGCTGGGCGGTGGCTTAGCAACCCATCCCGGGGGAATAATGCTCCCTTGTCTGCAAGAGACTTGCTGCTGGTGAATTGAAATGCACAAATCCAACCTCAAGGCCAGGAGCGAAGAAGACAGCCCAAGTCTCTTTGTTAACTGGGATCGAGATGCAAGAAGAGGAAGCAGGAGGCCGACGGTTTAATAAATAGACTTTTAGTTTCACTGGGGCGTAAATTCATCAACTCTTTCTGCCTTCGGTTTTGCTGGGGAGAGAATTCCCTGGGAAAGTTTCTAGGCCTAAGAAATTTACAAGACCCTTCAAGAGACTAATCCATCCATCTTTACAAAAAGAATCCCATGCCTGTTAAAACAAACGAACCAAAAAATCTTGCATGGGTTCAAAATGTGGGTTGAAGCCTTTTGGAGGATAGGAAGGAAGGGGTCCTTGTTTTGTTTTAATCCACCTGGAGTTTGGAAAGTCTTATTCCAAGAAAGAAGCGCGCCAGAAGCCTTGAAGCTAATTTCCCAGAATGATGATAGTGGTGATAGTCCTATGCAGTGGGAGATCATCAAGCTGGGGGAGAATGTGTTGAGATGTAACACATGGAGGGAAATATACGGTGGTGGTTATTAATCATACCCTATCTATTGCTTCTTCTTCTTCTTCTTCATCATCATCGTCAATTAAACTTGTATGTCGCCCGACTCTCAACGACTCACAACTATAGTAAAATTTGCACCGTCCTTACACAATTTACAATCTCTGTTCCAATAATGGGAGAGAAATCAGCAGTACGAAAGGCATCATATGAGAGCTTACAGGCACCTAGGCTGCATTTTGGCTCTGGAACTGAGAGCCTTAAGGTGTAATGGTCTGTGGGAAAGACCTTGGGAGACAGGCGAAGAGACGCTGCCTAGGGAATGGTCAGAGAAGAGAGGGCATAGCCCACAGCTGCATAATGGATGGAGAAAGAGGCCCAGAAGGGACCCTCCCTAGTTTCTCAGGCTGTAAAGGAGATGGGGGAAGAACTGTACTTTCAGACTTGCAAGATTCTGTTCATGTAGCTTTACAATAAAGTAGAATTAGCTCATTTGGTCGTGATTCCTGTCTGGTCTACCTGGTGAGGCTGACATAAAGGCTGCGTAATTTAGCCATCCCAGCAGGATATGTAGATTAATTAGTATAATCACTTTTTACAAAGGAAACTAGCAATTCATAATGGCAGCTAGCAAATCATTTCCTGGACGAACAGCCTTCCCAAAGTATCAATTTCATTACAGTCCAGGAAAAACCCTTCCTCCTAGTCTGGCAGTATAAATGGGCATGCACGAGTACTGTCTCTTGTTGCCTTCCACTGCTTCAATCCTTCTTGGGATGAGGCCATCTTGCTGCTAAAAGAAAGTTTCCAGACGTCTTGGGCATGGCTAAGGATAATTGTGGGGAGGGTGTGGGTGCAGCTTTAGGAGCACTGCAAAATGAGGTTATCATTTTAAATTTCAAAACATGCATTGGGATTAAAGCATCGCCGAACAGCTCTGGCAGATCTCTTCTGTTGCAGATCATAGTTAGTTGACGTACTCTCCCTGCTTCCGTCTCTCATTCAAGGTTTATGAATCACAGGGTCCCACCCAACCGAAGGTACCAACCAACCGAGTATGAACATGCAGCCAACTGTGCCACCCATGCGGTGAGTTGTACACGTGTTCTCTAGGGAGCATTCTGGTGGGATGAAACAAGAGGCTGGGTTTGGCTCAGGGCCCAAGGGGGACCTAGCAATCCATGATGTCTGTCTTCTCCAACCTGGTACCAGAACATTCTCTTTTCCATCTTTCTTCTAGTTTTGGATCGTCCCAAGCATCCTAGGCAGTTCAGTTCTCTACATCCTGTCTGACAATCAGTGGGAGACAATTTCTGCATGGATCTATGGCTCTGGGTTGTCAGGACTCTTCATTGTATCCACCACTTTTCATACCATCTCTTGGAAGAAACGGCATTTAAGGTAATTCTGTCAACCGTGAGGGTGGCAGCAAGGAAAGCTTATTGTCAGAGGAAGCTACAGCAGATGCTTGGCCCATCTACAGTAGTTTAATTAGAGCTACCAGATTTGGGCTGCAGAAATCTAGATAACCACGAGAGGGTGGCAAATAGATAACTCTCAGCTGTCTTCTGATCCTCTAGATTTATTTGCAGCACCATCTGATTGTGCTGGTTTAATGATGCTTTATGCAACTTGGCCTAAGTTCTTCAGGGCTTCATCCAGGGATTTTTTCCACCTGCCAAGGACTGAATGTCCATATTGACATATCTTCTCTGTCACGGAACCCAGGGGTTTATAATCTTGGGGTGGACAACTTGAGGTCCCAGCACCACTTGGCCCCGTAAGAACCCTTATTTTGGAAATGGCAGCATGACTTCTAGAAATTTTGAGGCAGGAAACAAACCAGCAAACCCTAAAATAGTCTCCAGGCAAAGGTCTCCCAAACTGAGCTTGACTCTTGGTGACTTCAAGGACACATCCATGGAATTTCCCTGCCAAGAGGAATCAAGCTCTTCACCGTTGAATTCTTTGGGGGTCTATTGGTTGATTACCAAGTCTTTGACCACCAAGAGTACAAGGGCCCTTCTTTTCAGTTCTAACCAGCTTTGGTCCTGCTTAGTATTTTGAGATTCACAAAGGTCAACCAGGCAACAAATCTCCCCTTCCCAAATGCCAAGAAACGATCAGGAAACCCCAGCCAGGCCCATCCTGGTAACTTAGCCCTTGGCAAGATCTCGTGGGCTATGGCCCTCTTGCTTGTGCACATTGGAATTGCTTCACCAGCGTGGAGGTGCAAAGTTTCAGGGGCAAAACAACCAACCAACCCCCTCCCCCCACACCTTGCCATTCCACAAAAGAAAATGAAACTAAGCAAACCCAGGCTTTCTCCCCATACATATTTTGCAGGACTGTAGAGCACTGCCTACACATGTTCGACCGAATGGTAATTTATTTCTTCATTGCAGCTTCCTACGCTCCTTGGTGAGTTCCGACAAACTGTGTATAGCTCTCTGCTTTTCAGCAGGGCCGTTGTCAAACTGCTGTCGTTTATCAAAATGGTTCTCTTTGTGGGAGAGTCTGTGTGAATGAGAGGGATCTGGGGCGAAACTAGTTTTTCCATGTTTTCATAGTATTTCAAGTGGCGGGTGGAGCAACCTAAAACCACAGGATGGTGACAAGACTTGTGCACGGTAAAATCTGGATGTAAGAGGCTGGTGGTGCGGGGGAGGAGGTGCCTGTTAAATCCCATATGCCACCCCTGATGTGACTGATCTCATTTGTGCAATCGCATAGTCGATGTTTTGAAGTCATCTCGGTCACCTGCGTGCATTTCTAGCGGCTGTTTCTCTCCACGATCCCATATCCCCATTGTGCTGCCAGGCTCAACCTGCGGGAGTTGGGTCCTTGGGCATCCCACATGCGCTGGATCATCTGGATCATGGCCTCGGTTGGGACGGTCTACGTCTTCTTTTTCCATGAACGGTGAGCATTTTGGAAGATGCCGAGAGGGAGAAATCCATGCTTTTGCTTGGAAGGGAGCTATATCTTTGATGGGCATATACCGCCCTCTTGCGGAATGCAATATATCACAGGGGTTCCTTTTGGTTTGCTTTTAACCCTTTATCGTGCTTTGGTTACTGAAAAAAGATAGAAACGTGATCTGAAAATCTTGAAAAGAGGGAAGGAAGGCTTGTCCCACAACTCATGGCCCCAAGTTGCTCAGAGAGAAGAACAGAGTTTTCTCAATAGCTGCTCCTCTACGTAGCTACATGGGTTCCCTGCCCTGAGAGAGGCTTGACTTATGGAGCAGTGTACCTTGTGACTCCCAACCCCTGTGGTTTAGAAACTATGGTTTATGGCTTCCTGAGGGATGTGAGCCCAGACGACTGGGATTAATTCAGCAACTGGTTAAGCAGATCACGGCTTAGCTTGAGATGCAGACTGCATCAGGGCTTCTCAAACTCGGTTTGGCTTGTCTTTTCCCCAGGTACAAGCTGGTGGAACTGCTTTGTTACCTGGCAATGGGCTTTTTCCCTGCTGTGGTCATTCTCTCCATGGTAAGTGACCCAGTGGAAATGCAGAATGGGGCAATGTCTATAGAAGGGTCTCCCTCCTGGAAGAATCAGGAGCTACCTGAGTTTCATGAATAGTGGGGCTTCTTCTGCTAATCTTCTGACTCCCTCCTCTGCTTTTCCTGGTTATTGCAGCCCAACACTGAAGGTCTGCTGGAGCTGGTGGCTGGTGGCATTTTCTACTGCTTGGGCACCATCTTCTTCAAGAGCGATGGACGCATCCCCTTCGCCCACGCCATCTGGCATCTCTTTGTGGCTTTTGGAGCTGGTACCCATTATTATGCTATTTGGAGGTACCTCTATCGGCCCGATGCGGTTGAGTCTAAAACTTCCAGATAGACAGTTGCCTTAAGGATTCAAAGATGCAGGGTTCAGGGAGAGGAGATCCTTCCTTCCCTCTTTTTGTCTCTTCTGGAAGGTTGATCCTGCTCTTCCACATTCTTCAGGACTTCCAAGGGGAGATGGTGGTTCTTACAATGGACTTCTTGCCCAATCTTGCCCAGGCCCAAAATGTTGAAGGTGCAAAGTTTCTTTTCCTTTAATACAAAAGAACTGTAATAGCACT